ACGTGGCAAAATTGGTAGGCGGTTGTTGGTGGGAATGCAATGGGTATGGGCAAGTGCTCCTCGCACTGCTCTTTTCACATTAAAATTTGGGATTCTTCCTTTTAGGGGTGTTTATTTCATTTCAATCGATCTGATTTAAATTGAAATAATTTATTTAAAAATTAAATTAAATTAATATAAATTTGAATTAATTTGAATTATAAAATTTTAAAATTAATATAATTAGTTTTCTTTGTGATTTTATTTTTAAACTATTCAAACTATCTAATTACAAAATAATATAATTAAATAATATAATTTTTTAATATTTTAAATTTTCTTCTTTTTTTTTTGCTTTTTTGCTTTACAAGTTAATAACGTCATTTTCTTTAATTTATTTTTCCTTTTTAATTGTGTACTTTAACTCTAATTTTAAATTTTTAATTCATATGTAATTCTAACTCTCAAAATTGGTCTGCAACTTTGTTTTTAGAACCCTAAATTTATAATTTGTTCATAAAATGATATTTTGATCCTTCTACTTAAGTTTTAAAGAAGTATAATTTAAAAAATCTTAAAACTTTATAATAAAACTAGTTTTAATATTCTGTTATATTTTTTGGATATTTGGTTAAAGAGTTTTAAATTTTAATTATGAATGCTTTTAACCAATTCTAATGATATTCATTTTAAATTTTATTCACTTTTAACAAGGTTTAAAAGATGAGATTGACTTATTAGTGCATTTAAAAAATAATAATTTTAACTTTTAAGAGTTATCTTTTACCATCCTTGATACTTTTAGTGATATAGCCAAAAATAATTTTTAGATCCTTTCAATCTTTACAATGGTAAAGGAGTATAAGAACATTTATAATTTGTTTTTTTAATTATGTCTCTATTGATTTAGATGTCAATGTGTAATATAATTATATTTTCTATTTAATGTTAAAATTTTTACATTGTCTTATATATTTAAAAACCAATCAATCTGATTGAATGACACTATTCTAATTTAAGTTGAATTAATTTAGTTGTCATATAATAATGGATTAAATTGATTTAAAAATTTTACTAACTGATCAAATTAGATTAGTTTAAAAAATATTAAAATTTGAATTAAATCACCGTGCGAACACCCCTACTTCTTTCTTATTATTTTAATTTATTTTTATTTAATTTACTTGTATAATTTTACAGTGATATTTTTCCATCAATTCACCTAACGTGACTCAAATTCTCAATAAATGGTACTAAAATCAAAGAGGGAAATTTAATTCCCAAAAGTAGATTACACAATCTACCGCAATGACAATATATTGCATAAAGATGTGAAGAAAGAAAAAAAAAACCATTAAAAACATGGAGTAAATTTTTGCTACATACATAAGCTTAAGATGATGGTGTTTTTCAGTACTGACAGTATTTTTTTTTTGTATAATTTAAATGTTGAAATTATTAAAATATCATTAATGAATAAATGTATATAGAAGACACTTCTATTTAAGATATTTTAATCATTTTAGTAGTCAATTTACATAAAAAATGCATCTATATTAAAAAATACTTTTTTATAAACTTAATGAAATAGCAATAAGATTTTTTTTTTAATTTATATTATATTTAACTTTAATAATTATAAGAAAGGTTCTTGAATGAGAAATGAGACCTTCCTTATTTTAAATTTAATTTTGTATAATTTAATACAATTTAAAGTACACAAAACATTTATATAGTAACAACAATAAAAATTAAAAACATTTAGTACCATACCTTTTTCCTAGAAATTAATCGGTCCTAACCTTCTTGAATTCAGATTTGACACTGTAGTTCTTTCCCTCCCAAAAAACTCCTGATAGAAAATTTAGTAACAAAAATAATTATTACAGATAAAAAATTAATTTTTTTAATATAGACAAAATAAAGTTAGACTCTAAAGTACAGGTTTAGCTTCAAGCATATGATCTTGTTCGAACCTATTGAGTGGGGTCATATCCCATCTTGAGTTATATAATTTTGTTGCATATTACTTTTCCATTACTAATTTAATTAGTTAAATTTTATGTTAGGTTTATTAATTATTAATAAATTATTATTTTAATTTAGAAAATTTAGTTTATTTTTCTAACGAGATTTCTTGTATGTTGGTGCATACGTAGCACAATAATATAAACCTCATATGCCTCTAAAAAATTACATTTTGATAATTCCTGATGAAGCTTTAAACCTCTTATATTTAAAGATAATAAAATCATGATGGATGTGAATTCACCTGGTCCTTGCTTTTTGATTTGTTCATCTCTTTTCTCCTTTTTCCTCCTTATCTTTGGTTTCCAACTCCTGTATTTTCTCCAAAAGCACATGTTCATCTCCTTTCATTGTAATCCCAACTTACTCCCATAATGCTGTTACAAACCTTTTTGCATCATTCAAATGGAGGCACCAGTTGCAATTCTAAATATTACTGTCATTAATTGAAACATCGTCATTGAGATTTTTGAATTTGGTTCAAAAGTCACCATCTGCTTCTGCGTTGCAAACTTCAAACGACACCCTTTCTTCTTTTTGTGCACCATGTTGCCTTATAATCCCCCTGTCTCCCTATAAATTGAGGCACAAGACTTCGCTCTTCTTTTTTGCTTCCTTTTCACTTTGTGTTCCATCTTCCTCATCCATTCTGCTACTTCACCTGATTCGCTTTCCAAGCCTTCCCAAAATGATCTTGCATCTTCCTAGTTCGGTTTTAATTGAGGATGCCCCAATACATTACTTATAGCACCACCCGTTGAAATTGGAGGCCCATTCTCAACTAGTCCACTAACCTTGGACACCCACACATGATTAAACCACCTTTTACATTTTTACCTTTCGGCCCCAATACTTTCTCGCCACCTAGCCCAAGATAAGTAAGCCCAATCTCATCCAGTAACTCTGCATTTGCTTACATCGAAGTTACAACCATCTTTAAATCTCTAACAGAGTTGGTTTCTCTTCTCCCTTCACCAACTAATGAGCAGCCATCTCCATTCAAATCTAAACCAAACTGTCTTCCTAGTCTATCCCTCTTTGAGGGGCAATCAATCTCCAATACCCTTCCTAATTCTGTTCTACTAAAAGCTCTCCACATATCTTTGAACGACCACACTTCTGGAAAGTTTGTGAAGAAAAAGGGAACAACTTGATTGTAAATTCCTTTGTCGTAGCCTTCAAACTACTAACGCGATCAAACTAGTCCATGGAATCTAGAACTCTCATAAGACTGTACTGTTCAAAAGCTTCGTGTTCTTTGTCCAAACTCTCTTGTCGACATTCTCCCTCTCATTTTCCCTTAGTTCACCGTGGTTAGGTGGTCTAAAACAGTTCCTCAGCTTAATTTTTTTTAAATATCATGTAAAGGATCCAGTTTTTAAAAGGAGCATATAATATTAATGCATCAATGTGACAATTAAATGAAATTAACAACTAAATTGAAATTAATTATTTTCTTTGAATAATGAGACATATGTACGCAATAAGGACAATTGTTTCCTTTATCATTCACATTAGCTAAAATAAGCATAAATTTTTTCTAGTCATTAACAAATGGCTAATTTGCTTTAATTGCATGGTTGAAGTGGTTATTTCCCTAAGTCAGCATTTTCTCAACTCCTAAGTCAGCATATTCTCAACCCAGCATATTCTCAACCCCTAAAGGGTGATACAAGGCCTATAGGTGATCAAAAGGATGTAAAAGGCCTCCATTTCACCTAAAGTAAGTGCATTTTGTTCGCAATTGCTTCACAAGAAACTTCCTACAAAAGATAATTTAGCAACCCATAGAATCTTAATTGATAATTCGAATTTAAGATGTTGCTGGTGTAATACATCACTTGAGTCATCCGCCCACATGTTTGTTAACTGCAACTTGGCTTTTAGTTTATGGATGAAATGCTACAAGTGGTGGGGCAAGCAAAATAAGTCTTGGGTAATTCATGAATGATGGTTTTGGACCAACACAAATGGATTGGGGGCCCAAAATTACTAGATAGAGGGTGGAACATCATCTGGTTTGCAGTAGTATAGACACTCTGGTTGGGAAGGAATGACATGATTTTCAACATAAAGGAAGCAAAGGTAGACAATTCTTTTGAGGTAGTTCAAATTCAATCTTTTTACTGGGCAAAGAATATTGCAGGAATGGATGGGTTCTCTTTATCAGATTGGTGCAAGAATCCAATCAAATGTTTAAAGATCAAATTCAACTAGAAAGATAGAGTTTGAACTAGACTTTTCTAGGACAATATGTTGTTTTGTTCTTTTACAACAGTTGGTGAAAAGAAAATTTTTTGTAATTTGCTGATTTATATAAGTAATGGGTTGGAATACCCCTTGTATTCCATAACTAATTAATGTTTTTGCCTTTCAAAAAAAAAAAGTGGTTATTTCCCTTTTTTTTTTTTTAATTTACGGCATATTTGCTTAAAATGGGGCAAGTTTGAGGGCTTCAGGAATGATTTTACCAAAAAAAATTAGATCTCTGCTCTCAACCACAGCAAGTAAACAGGAAAAATGAAATCAATAGTTCATGGCTTCTTTTTCCCCCGAATAAGCAAATTGAGAGCAGTATCCAAAGAAAATGGGAAAAGAAAGTGATGGAAATAGAAAAAAAATAGAGGTTTCCGAGATTGGGGGAGAAAACACAAAGATGAAAGAGAATAGTAGAGGCGTGGACTGTCATGAAGAAGAGAGATAAAAGGCCTTCTTACGTTTTCAGGAAAAAACTTGGATATTGTTGGCCTTAGGTATAAAAGGATAGTGTATAGTATGTGGTTTCTTCTAAAATAGTTTTTGAAGGGCATATTTAAAATTTTATTTTTAAAAAAATTGATTGTTAAATTAAAAATTTTATTCATATAAATTTTCTATATTAATTTTCATATTAATCTAATTATTATAACTTTTTTTATCAAAGTAACTTTATTTATTAACATATATTTATAATG